GTCCACAGTACCAAATGATTCTGGGGATATAATAAAGTTTATTGTTAATAAAGGCATCAAGTAAAACCTGAAACAAGAAAAAAATAAGATATTACCACAAAAAAGTCAGAAGATTTCCCGTCGACTTGAAATGGTCAGGTCCTTTGATGCTTGTTCAAAGGGATATGGGGGTGGGGAACCCAGGTAGTCACAATGCGTAAATTCCAAACAATTTTTAGTTTGTAGCAGGCCGTGAGTCCCCGAGTCTATATACCCAAAAAAGGGGTTTTCCCAAAAAATTTACAAAAACTGAGAAAGATGAAGCGGTTTAAATAGGATATGGCTTTGTCACAGCATACAATCCCTAAAGGAAAGGGAAAGTATATACATTATCCTCTGAAGGGTTTTTCCAAAAAATTTCCCCCAAAAATGCAGGGTAAATTACCCCTATGACATACCTCTTAACCCCATATTTTGTCTATACTAAACAGCAGTGGCAAAAATAACTTGCCACCGGGGGAAGGATATCCCATGGGGGATTGCCGTTTGGAACGCTGTAAATAGCCTTAGGTGGTTTTAGAGGGCTCGTGCTTCCTAAAAGGGAGCTGTGACCCGCCGTTCCTTCCCACCTGGGGCGCCGCACCCTTGAAGAGGGGCGAGCGTAGTGAGTTTTTAACGTTCGCGTTTCGTCCGCAATCACTGCAGCTTGTCGAACTGGGAGGGGACTTCACCCGGGAAACCCCCTATGGGATATACCTTCCACCGGTGGAAATTTTTATTTTAGTCATCTTTTTTGATTCTAGGCATATTGGATTTTAAGAGGGTATGTCTAGGGCCTAATTTCCCCTGTTTTTTGGGGGAAATTTTTGGAAAAATCCCTCAGAGGTAAGTATTTTTTACATAATCGCTATCTACTTGGCTTGTATGCTGTGACAAAGCCTCCTATTTAAACTGCTTATCTTTCTCAGATTGAGTAATTTTGGAAACCCTTTATTGGGTATATAACACGGGTACTCACGCCCTGCTACATACATAATATATGTGTTTGGAATTCACCGCATTGTGACTACCTGGCTTCGCCACCCCATATGCACCTTTGAACAAGCATCAATGACCATATCCTATTTCAAGTCGACGGAGATCTTCTTGATCTTTATTGATGGTAATATATCTATATTTGTCTCTGTTTTCAGGGCTTTTTTACTTGATACCTGTGATCTATACAATATTCTTTATATATATCCCAGAATCATTTGGTACTGTGGACTTTGTTTCACTTGGGTGGTTATACCCGAGGAAGTCCCCACATTGAGGAACCCGGTATGACAGCCTTACAACTGAGAATGTAATGAAAGTGTCCACTGACTACTGTATAGAAGGTTTTGGTGTGGCTTAGGTCGTGATTCAGCGCCCATATTTTCATATATATATCTATTTTTTATTTTTATGTTCCAGTTTCTAACACACCAGGAGGCTACTCTACACATCCTGCTCATATTGAGAACATATCTGCAAATATATGGTTCATTCTAATACAAATTGGAGATTTATGGAAACCTAGGATCAAAACCACACCATTACCCTATATTGCCTTATATGGTACTCCTACTTGCCAAAATGACCCTGAAAATGAAAGACGCTAAGTGCTTTATTAAAAATGATTTAATCTGTTGACATGTTCACCGTGCTCATTGTTTAACATTCCTTATGATTCTATGTGATCAAATAAAATATTTTTTGTAATTTTTGAACCCATAAATACTCCACGTGGATCATTCAGTAACCTCCTTTTTCTAGGTAGGGTGCTCTGGTCACACTACCATATTGTTTACTCTGATGAGGACACCTGATATAAGGAGCACTCTGATGGGAACACCCCGATTTAAAGTAGCACTCTGATGGATCACCCAATTTTAGGAGCACACGTTAAATCGATTGGGAACACTGTATTTAAAAAGCTACCCTGATAGGTACACCTGATTTAAGGGGACACTTTTGCCAAGGACACCTGATTTAGGGGGGCACTCCAACAGGGACATCCAAGTTAAGAGGGCACCTGATATAAGGGGACACATCGATGAGAACACCTGTTATAAGAGGGTGGCACTCTGATGGCGGCACCTGATTTAAAGGGGTACTCTGATGAGAACACCCAATTTCAAGGGGAAACTCCGAAGGGTAAAACACCCAATTATGGCAGCATTCTAATGGGGACACCTGAAATAAGAAGGCACAGGCTCTGTTTAACCACCTCCCGCCCGCCATATAGTACAATGACGGGCGCAAGGTGGTTCTCTAGTTCTGATAGGACGTCATATGACGTCCTACCATTCTCACTGCGCAATCGCGCGGCTCAGGGACCGCGCAGCATGGCGATCGCTGGTCGCTGTGTCCCTCGCTGATCACGGAAAGAGCCGAAGATGTCGACTCGGTCATGTGATCAGCTGTGTCCAATCACAGCTGATCACATGTAAACACGGAAATGCCGGTTATCGGCATTTGTCTCCTCTCGAGCTGTTACGCTGACAGCTTGAGAGGAGAGGAGAGCTGGTAATTGGCTTTCCGCGGAGGGGACATGTACACTGATCATCAGGGCACTGATGATCGGTGTGCCCTGATGATCAGTGTGGCCCCAGAAGTGCCACCTGTCAGTGCCCATCAGTGCCATGTGCCAGTGCCCATCAATGCCACATATCAGTGCCCATTCTGAGCTGCCTTTCAATGTCACCATCAGTGCCAGTCAATGCCAATCAGTGCTGCCAATCAGTGCCAGTCAGTGTCGCCTATCAGTGCCAGTCAGTGCCGCCTATCAGTGCCAGTCAGTGCCGGCCTATCAGTGCCATATATCAGTGTCATGTATCAGTGCTGCCTTTCAGTGCCCATCAGTGATGCCTGTCAATGCCTATCAGTGCAACCTACCAGTGCCTCCTCATCAGTGTCCATCAGTGCAGCCTATCAGTGCCCATCACTGAAGCCTCATTAGCGCACATCAGTGAAGGAGAAAAATCACTTATTTACAAAATTGTTTAACAAAAACTAAGAAAAAACTTTTTTTTTTTTCAAACTTTTCAGTGTTTTTGGTTTGTTTAAGAAAAAATAAAAATCCAGAGGTGATTAAATACTACAAAAAGAAAGCTCTATCTGTCTCAAAAAAATGATAAAAATTTCATATGGGTACAATGTTGCATGACCGCGCAATTGTCATTCAAAGTGTGACAGCGCTGAAAGCTGGAAATTGGCCTGGGCAGGAAGGGGGGTATAAGTGCCCTGTAGGCTAGTGGTTAAATATCCTAATGATAGTTGAATACATACTAAAGTTTCTCATCTCATGACTGATGGTATAGAAGCGTGAAGAGGAATACCAGATTCCAGCATCTCTGTCACATTATTTGACTGTCAATGACTCACACACAATGATGACATTCTGCCCCTCAATGTTGTTTTCCTGTACCCAGGATACTGTCTGCACCATCTCCCTGACCTTCCTTTACCATAAACTCCGACAGGCTGATTTGTCAGGTAGATTGTAAAATAACAGCGAGCAGAGACTGGCAAGAATGTAAACCGTAATGTATATTCTACCTGTTATACAAAAAACAATATCATAGCGCCTGTCACCAATATATATTTTTTTAAATATATTCTTCAGATTTTTTTAACATATAAAAAAAATAAATTTCCACATATATTTACATATATTATTTGTATATGCATTCCAAAAATGTAGATTTGTATTTTTAAAGACCTACAGTATATTTGAAATGTATTTTTAAAAATATTTTTCATGTATTTTGTAATAAAAAACGCATTTCAACATGCAGTATAATATATTTATTGAAATATATTTAGAAATATATTGAATATGGCCAAAATGTAGCATTTCAAATATATGGCAATATATTTGGGAAGAATATTTTAAAAATATATTTCAAATATATTTTCTTCCATATGGGTTGAACCAGGATAAAACCAATACAGACAGTGGAAATACAGAGGGGGACTGGCAGGTACCCAGTCGACCCATGTACAAAGTGTAAAACCAACACTTTGTACATGGGTCCACTGGGTAATGAATAAGCGCTGTCTTTAGCTTGAAACACGTTTACCTGCCAGTCCCCCACTGTATTTCCACTGTCTGTATTGGTTTTATCAATACACAGTCGACCACCCCCCTCCTCAAAAAACTACACTCCCTCGGCCTCAGAGATTCTGCTCTCTCCTGGCTCTCATCCTACTTGTCACAATGCTCTTTCAGTGTTACTTATAATGCTACCACCTCCCCCTCACTCCCCCTGTGTGTTGGGGTCCCTCAAGGCTCTGTCCTCGGGCCCCTTCTCTTCTCCATCTACACCTCCTCCCTTGGCCAACTCATACACTCTCACGGCTTCAACTACCACCTATATGCCGACGACACACAAATCTATCTCTCAACCCCCACCTCACCCCCTCGGTCTCTGCCCGAATCACACACCTACTGAGCGACATATCAGACTGGATGTCGCTCCACTTCCTTAAACTGAACCTCTCCAAAACCCGAGTTTCTTGTCTTCCCCCCAGCCCGGACACCACCCCCCATTGACTTCTCCATCACATCCAACAACGCCACCATCAAACCCGCCCTGCAGGCCAGAGTACTTGGTGTCATTCTGGACTCCAACCTATCCTTCCAGCCCCAAGTCCAATCTTTAACAAACTCGTGCAGACTCCACCTCCACAACATCACCAAAATCCGCACGTTCCTAACCCCAGAAACCACTAAACAGCTCATCCACTCCCTCATCATATCATGACTGGACTACTGCAACTCCCTCCTTACTGGCCTTCCTCGCCGCTGGCTATCCCCGCTTCAGTCGATCCTGAATACGGCTGCCATACTCATTCACCTTTCCAACCGCTCCATTTCCGCCACCCCCCTCTGCCAATCCCTCCACTGGCTTCCGATTGCGCAACGGATCAAATTCAAAATCCTAACACTGACGTACGAAGCTGTCCACCATACTGCCCCGAACTACATCACCGACCTAATATCCAAGTACCGCCCAGCACGCACACTCCGCTCCTCACAAGACCTCCTTCTCTCTAGTTCCCTGGTCTCCTCCTCCCAAGCCCGCCTCCAGGACTTCTTCAGGGTGTCACCCATCCTCTGGAACTCCTTGCCCCAACTCATCAGATTATCACCTACTCTCCTTTAGGCGCACCCTGAAAACCCATCTCTTCAGGGAAGCTACCCCACCCCCTGCTAACTTGCCGACCTCCTCCACTCTTCCTACCACTCCATCCCCCACAGCTATCTCCTCCTGTGCCACCATCCCTTCCCTCCTAGATTGTAAGCTCGAAAGAGCAGGGCCCTCAATCCCCTCATGTTTTGCATTGTATTGGTATTGTTCTGTCCCCCTTTGTAATGTACAGCGCTGAGCGAACTATTGGTGCTTTATAAATACTGTATAATAATAATAATTATCATGGTTCAGGTCGATTGTTTGGAGTGCTGATCTATACAGCACACAAGCTTGGCTAGCACCTACAGGTGGAGTTGTGCTTGGAGATTGGGAGTCTCTCTTTCTTGAGCAACGGTATACATATATTACTTGTCTATAGGTTTGGGTGAAAACAGAAAAGGTCACTGCCTTTTAATAGGTAGGCTAGCAAGAGACAAATGTATGTGCATCCATCTGCATTAGAGGATCAGTAGGTGAGAATATGTGTGGAAGATTGGTGGCAATACCCCAAGTGTCTCTACAGATCTAATCAGGAAATATACACATCTTGGGGACTCTCCCATCTTGTACACTTCAGGCTAATGTGAATGGATTTATATGGAAGAGTGATCAACAATGATCAAAGAAGGTGAAGATGTGTAGGGAAATTACAGATATTCATTCCTGACCACCACATCGCCCACCACATTGTAACAGTACCAGCGATTTGAAATCTGTTCTCCATTTTGTATATAAAACTGGTTGCTCTTCTGTAGATATTGGTAAATAAGTCTGGAAAAAAAGAAGACAGGTTATAGGATAGGGCCTATTACAAACAGGTAAGAAACTCTAAAGAAACCATTACTAGCATTGAGTAGGTTAGCGTAGTTTAGTGCAGACCCTACCCTAAAAGAGTCTAACTTGTTGTGGTGGGCAGGCTTGCAGTCTTTAGTTAAAAATATCAAAACTGAAGAAAGAATTAATTCTTACATAGTTACATAGTCTGGCTGCAAATAGACAAAAGTCCATCCAGTTCAACCGTGAAAAAAAAATAAAAAGAGCTACAATCACCCACAGTTGATTCAGAGAAAGGCAAAAAAACCCAGCAAAGCATGATCTAATTTGCTCCTGCAGGGGAAGAAAATTCCTTCCTAATCAACCAAAAGGCAATCGGATATTCCCTGGATCAACTTTACCTATAAATGTTAGTATCCAGTTATATTCTGTGTATATAAGAAAGAATCCAGGCCTTTTTTAAAGCAATCTACTGAGCTGGCCATAACCAACTCTTGAGGAAGTTTATTCAACGTTTTTACAGCTCTTACTGTGAAGAAACCTTTCCGTATTTGGAGATTAAATCTGACCTCAGGGTGAATAACTCTACACTGAGTTCACTATATGAACCACTGATGTATTTATACATGTTGATCATATCCCCCCTTACTCTTCTCTTCTCAAGAGAGAATAAATTCAGTTCCTCTAATCTTTCCTCATAGCTGATCTCCTCCATGCCTCTTATCAGTTTGGTTGCCCTTCTCTGTACTTTCTCCAGTTCCCCAATGTTCTTTTTGTGAATTGGTGCCCAAAGGTGAAGTTCATATTCCAGATGAGGTCTTACTAATGAGTCGTACAGGGGTAATATGATATCTCTCTCTCTGGAGTCTATACCTCTTTTAATACAAGAGAGGATTTTGCTCGCTTTAGAAACCGCAGCTTGGCATTGCATGCCATTATTAAGCTTGTGATCTACCAGAACTCCCAGATCCTTCTCCACCATTGATTCCCCCAGTTGTACCCCCCCCCCAGTATGTATGATGCATGCATATTCTTAGCCCCCAAGTGCAGAACTTTACATCAACATTAAACCTCATTTGCCACATAGTTGCCCAATTAAACAGTGCATTGAGGTTGGCTTGTAAGTTGGAGACATCCTGTAAGGACATTATTCCTCTGCACAGCTTGGTGTCATCTGCAAAGACTGAAACTGGATTTTTAATCCCAGACCCTATATTGTTTATAAATTTACTAAAAAAGTAAGCGTTCCAACACTGAAGCTTGGGGTACACCACTGACAACCCTAGACCATTCAGTGTATGAATCATTAACCACTTGCCGACCGCGCATAGCCGAATGACGGCTTTCACCGCGGCCGGCCAGTTCTGAGTGGACGTCATATGACGTCCTCCCAGAACGCGCTCTCCTGCGCGCCCCAGGGGGCGCGCACCCGGCGATCTCCGTGATCGCTGTGTCCTACGGACACAGCTGATCACGAGATGTGGTGAAAGGCCGATCCCACCGGCCTTTTACCACGTGATCAGCGGTGTCCAATGACACGCTGATCACAGGAAAATGCAAGTGCCGGTTCTCGGCTGCACTTTCCTCACGCTGTCAGATCGTGAGGAAAGTACTGCCGAGAACCGGCAGTTGTCAGAGCGGGGATCGGCACCGATCATCAGGGCACTGATGATCAGTGCCCTGATGATCGGTGCCCAGCAGTGACCCCCGCAAGTTCCGATCAGCTGTGCGCCCACTAGCCCCGCCCACCCATTCCCAGCAGTGCCCCCACCTGTGCCCAGCAGTGCCCCCACCTGTGCCCAGCAGTGCCTCCACCTGTGCCACTCTGCAGTGCCACCTACCTGTGCCCAGCAGTGCCACCTACATGTGCCCAGCAGTGCCACCCACCTGTGCCCACCCACCTGTGCCCACCAGCGCCACCCACCTGTGCCCACCAGTGCCACCCACCTGTGCCCACCCACCAGTGCTGTCCACCAGTGCCACCCACCAGTGCCACCCACCAGTG